CACAGGGAGCACTACTGCTCTCCTACAACCCTTACCCTCAAAACAAGAGAAGAACCAAGGAAAGCCAGAAAAGGGACTTACAAGTCCAAGATCACAGGAGCGTCCTTGACAATATGTGGTGCTTCTGATTCAGGGGTGGGATGTCAAGTATTTTGGCAAGATAATGGTCATTTTTAAATTTTAATGAAAATTTTTGAGAATAGGAGAAGACTCACTGGCTACCATTGCTCCTGACGCAAGTGGTAAATGGAGGTGATGTAACCTTGAAAAGATTAGGGGACTGTCTTCCTCTAAGTAACCTGGTTTTGCCCTGGCCGGTTTGGCTCGGCAGTTGGAGCATCGGCCTGCGGTCCAGAGAGACCCAGATTCGTTTCCCACTGAGGGCATGTACCTCGGTTGCAGTTTATCCCCAGCCCTGGTTGGTCGTGCGGGTGGCAGCCACTAGATATGTTACCTTCACATCGATGTTTCTCTCTCTCTCTTCCTCTCTCTCCCTCCCACTCGGGTGAGGATAAAATAAAAATAACCTGGTTTTATCATTTTTGTTTTCAATGAGAGCTCATAGTTTGAATGTCAAGATTTTAATTTGCAGTGTTAATTGAGACAGCAGTAATTAAAGGTTCTGCTCTAATGAGCAGCTGAATCCAACCTTGGAAATTCAAACAAAAAGTAATCTTGAATTTCTGAAAAAGTTCTTTTTGGAGGGTTTGGGGATAGGAGTGAGTGGTGAAGAGGAGGTAGAGGAGAGATGAGGGAAATCTCCCTGAAGGATCTGCATGCTATGGTATTTACTGGGGCCCGGTTTGAGCAATGCTCCAAAAACAAAACCAAAACAAAACAAAACAAAACAAAACAAAACAAAACAAAACAAAACAAAACAAAATGCAGGTGAGAAACACCAATTCCCCAATGCCAATGACCAAGCAGAATCAGCATTCTTAGCAGCATTGGTGCTGGGCAGCCAGCAAGGCTGGCCTGCACTCTCCTTTGCATTCGCTCTCTTTGCCTATCAGCATTTGACCCTCTCTCTGAATCTAGAAATAACAGGCAGCCCTCAGCCTGCTCCAAACAGTAGGATTGGGATCAAACTGACTTCAGGTAGAATTTGGCTCCTTCTTACCTTTAGCCTCATCTCTGTCCAGCTAAAGTTGACCTGAGGTTTATTTGTTACTCAGTAACCATACAGGATGGGCAGTGCTCATATGACTCTTGGAAGCTCTGGTCCTTTCTAGTGGTCACCAACTTGTGTCTTCCACTTGGTTTCTCTTTATTCACCTGACAAATGTTGCCTCTGACACCCCCAGGAGGGCACTCCCCTGACCCTCCTCTCCAAGTCACCACCCACCCCTGGAAGCAAAAGAGGAATCTAGACACTGAGGTAGTCTAAACTCATTCCACTGGGTTACTGGTGTTCTGAGTTTCCAGAACTTTCTTGATATAGTTACAGCTAACATTGATGAAATATTATTGTGTGACAGATTCTATGAAAGCACTTTTACCTTTTCTCATTTAATCTTCCCAGCAACCCCATTAGATAACTATACTAGTATCTCCATTTTACAGGTGAGGAGACTGAAGCCCTAAGAGGATATACAGCTTGGCAAATAAGAATGAGGTAGAACTGGAATTTGGACCCAAGTGATCCAAAGCCTGGGCATTCTCAAACATGGCCTCGAGCCCAGCCTTCAGGGCCTGTGCCCTGCCAAGGGCCAAGGGCCAAAGCCTTGGTGTCCCCTGCCCTGTACCAGCTTCCTTTGACCCTGGGTTCTGGAAGTGCTGCACTTTGGAGTGCTCATTTTGCCAGGGACAAGAAAAACCCATGAGTGAGGGTGGCAAGAAGGCTTCCCCAAGGATCTACCTCAGACACAGCTGCCCAGATGCTCATCAAAGGCCCAACTTCTTGAAGAGTGAAGATGGAAAGCTCTCTAGATTCACCCATCATCTCCACAACTGCTGAATATTCACAGTTGTCTATGCTAAGGAGATGGGAGGCTTATGTTAAAGGTAGAAAGTACAGGAAACCTGGGAAGAGCCAAGTCCAGCCTTCCCCAAGGAAGGCTTTGTTGCCTTCTCTTGCTTCTCTCAAAATCTGTCCAAGCAATATCACGTGCCTCTTTGGTCTGTTTTTGTGCAGCTGCCCCCTTTCTCCTGTGCCTTGGTTTGCCTCAAGGATCAGATTACAGGTCTTTTTTTTTTCCTTATTACAATTAACCATCCTCCCAGTCTCTCCTCCACATGACGCTGCACTTGCAGTTCTGCAAAGGTGCCTGGAGGGCACTATGGCTGATCCTCACTCTTTCAGAGCACAACCCCCATCTTCTTGATGGACCTGTTTCAGTCTTTTTTTTAAAAAAAAAATTGTTTCTTTTTATTGATTTTAGAGATAGGAAGTGAGAGGGAGGGAGAGATAGAAACATTGGTGAGAGAGAACATCAATTGGCCACCTCCTGCATGCCCCCCACTGGGGATCTGGCCCACAACCTGGGCATGTGTCTTGACCAGGAATCAAACCAGCAACCTATTGGTGCATGAGTCAATGCTCAACCACTGAGACACACCAGTCGGACTATTTCAGTCTTTTGAGTTTAATTTGCCAATGGTAAATTTTGTTGATGACACAGCTGAAGTCCTAACACCAATTATTCGATTTTTCCAATACTTTAAGTTATCTACAATAGTATTCAGGATGAAGGGGAATTAAGTTAAAATGTATTTGCCTCACTTTGACTAAAAACAGAGAAATGTCATCCAGCCATAGAAGCATGGTGGGGAATACAGTTGAGTGTCACAACTCTGTAAAGAATCCCTCTGTTAGTAATGCCAAGTCCACATTTCATATCTGTAATTTCAAGGCCAAAAGCTCTGAAAGCTTATTTTAGTTTTTCAATTTTGGTGGCAAAATTTGACCTGGAAGTATTGAATTTTCACATTTCTTTTTAAAAATAATAAAAGGCTGTCCAGATTCCACCAGAGAGTTGTATAATTTTTGGTATATGCACTATGTTATTTTTCTGAAGTCCCAGATGTCCTGAATTTGGATATACATCTGAACCAAATGGGTCTAAGACCCAAGACCAGGAGCTTGCAGCATCCCTGACTGAGCACATGGTGTGCACTAGGCAGGGGTCTAAGCAATTTCAATTTAGTGTCTCCTTTGTTATCTAATGCCCTGAAAGATGAGTATGATTCTTTTCCCTGTGTGTAGCTGAGACTCAAGGGAATAAACCCTTTATGGCTATCTCTTCCTTGGCTTCTTTACAAAAGAGGGAGGCAGTGGGAAACAGAAGTACCAAAGACAATCAGGGAAAAGCTTCCTGGTGGGGTGCTTGAACCTAATGACCTATAGGAGTGAGATAGGAAAGAAAAGGTGGTAAGAGAAAGCCAGGAACAGGGACCAGCAGTAGTAAAGGCCAAGAACACAGAGTGGGTCAGGAGCTGCAAACACTTCTGGGTTATAGAAATGAAGTGCCAGGTAGGGGCCAATAGACACTGCTAAGGAGATGGAGCCAGGTTATGGACCTCTGGAAACTTCTGAGCAAGTATGAAACATGATCAGGTCTCTGCTATAGCAATGTAATGCTTAGAGCAATGGATAGTTCATTGGGGGAAACCAATCTAAAAGTCAACTGTATGAGTTCAGATTAAGAATCAGGGGGGCCTGAACGTGGGCAGGGATAAGAGCAATGGGAAGGAGGGTCCATGGCATCAGTATTCTGGCAGACATCAGGGATCTTTTTCTCCTGGTATTCACACCTTCATACTTGCATATAACGAACAGAATACAGCTGAAGTGATGGGATGTCACTTTCAAGACTAGATTATAAAAACTGTAACTTCTGACTTGCTGACAATCCCCTTGCCTCTCTTGTTGACATATTTTTGTCTTGCTCACTCAGATGGAGCCAGCTGCCATATTGTGAGATGCTCTATGAAGAGGACCCCATGGCAAGGAACCATGGGAGGCCTCTGGTCATGGCTCACGAGGAACTAAGGCTTCATTCTAATAGCCTTCAAGGAACTGCTTCCTGCTAACAGCCATGGGAGTAAGTTTGGAAGCAGAACCTTCCCAGCTGAGCCTTGAGATGATTTCAGTCCTTATGAGAGACTTAAAGCCAGAAGACCCAGCTAAGCCATGGTAGGATTCCCACTCACAGAAACTGTGAGGTAACATATCTCTGTTGGTTTAAGTAGATGTTTCGGGGTGATTTGGTACATGGCAATAGATAACTAATATATGTAGGGATCAGAAAAACAAAAAATGAGAACTGTGATTGACACCACCTAGTCAGAATGAGCTGAATTTAGTACTTGATAAGATTGTAGAAGTTGAGGGAGAGAGAAGTCACAGTAATTTGGAGAAGAGCCAGGCTCTGGAGTGAGACTGTCTGGGTTCAAGTTCCTGCTCTGCCCTGCCAGCTGTGTGACTCTGGGCAAGTCATTTCAGCAATCTGAGCCTGTTTCTTTGTGTATGAAATGAAGATGGTAAAAGTAACTTACACACATCTGTCCTTTTCATTTAGGACCTGCTTCAGCATCTAGCACAGTGGTGAATAGCACACAGAAGCTACTGTGGCATTTCAAGAAGGCTCAATGATTAACCTTATGCCAGCAGGGACAAGATGCTTCAGTGCAATTTTCTTGCATCTTATGAAGCCTTCACTGGTTCTGTGTGATGGAAACATGCTCCATGACCCCAATGCAGGAGAAGGTAGTTCTGTGCAATTGTGACTTGTCACTCCTGGTTACTTTCCCTGGCAGCACCTGTGGGTGCAGATTTCCTCCTGTACAGGAACTGAAAACATAACCTTGGCCTCATTAATTCTGTGCTTCAACCAGGCAGGGTTAGCTGGCTTCCGCAGACTTTTCCACAGTCAAATATAGTCTCAGGGAGGACTAGAAGCTTGTATTTGCCTCCAAAGCCAGCTATCAATAGCACACACACAAAAAAAGCTTCCTACTTCTAAAACCAAGGAACTCAACCAGATATAAGACTGTCTTACCTGTTTGGACAGAGGAAGCATGGACTCTAAAGCTGCTGATTGTTGAAAGTGCTGGGGCTGCTGCATCATCTTCTGCAGAAGGAATGAAGAATGGTCAGGTTGCTGCTGCCGCACCTGCAAGGTGGCCATGGCGGTAGAGCAGGCAGTAGCAGAAGAGGCCTGTGTCAGCATAGGCTGCTGCAGATAGTGGAGTAGAGAAGGCTGCCTAGAGGTGGAAGGCATGGAAGAAATCTTCTGGGGGCCTAGCTCAGAAACAAAATGTGACAAAGGCTTGGTGTTGCTAAAAGTAAATGGCTCTGGGGCTCCTGGCCTGGGGCTGGCCAGCCCCTGCTGCATGATTATGCTCAGGGTCTTAGGTGAGTTGGTGGTCATGGGCTTGAAGATGGCATTTTTTTGCTGGTGCTGCTGCTGGCTTAGTGGATTACTGCTGGGAGTGAGGCTCCGGATCAGGGAACACTGTGGAGTAAAGGAGTGCTGTGGCAAGCCTGGGCTGGAGAGCTTCTCTGGGCGGTAGGGTGGGGAGGGCCCAGAGTTACTGGTGGGCAGAGCAGACATCAGGTGGCCTTGAGGACTTTTAATGGTAGAGGACACTAGGTTGGCAAGGATGGAACTTTGTGGGCTGAATTGCAGCTGCTGATTGCGAGCTGTGTTGGGGATCTTCTCTGGAGCAAAAGACATGGTAGGCCCAAGGGCAGCATTGTTGCTGGATGCCATGCTTGACAGTAAGGCATTGGGAGAGCCTTGGGAAGTGCTCCATGGCAGGTTGCTGGATGACATGCAGGATACCATGAGGCTCTGTGGGCTGAAATGTGGTGGCGGGTGTGGTGAAAGCACTGGGTGGTAAGGTGGGGAGAGGCCTGGAGGAGTCAGGCTAGACCAACTGGAAGTGGGCCCTGGCTGCTTTGTAGCAGATCCCTGCTTGCTGGCCGCCAACACCTTCAGCTGGTGGGCATGATGCCACTGAGGCACAGGGAGTGGGGGCAAATCTATGGGGAGCATTGCTTGGACCTGGCTCTTGGCCTGTGTTGTCGCGGAACTGGATGAAACCATTTGTTTACTGGTAGAGGGAATAATATAACTGATCCCTACAGAGGAGGGTGGGACTTGAAGTGATATGCCAGTGACCTGGCTGCAACCAGAAGAAAACTCCTTATTGGAACTAAGGCTCTCCAAGTGTGGCATCTGAGCAGAAGGCATGCAAGTTGTGCCCAGGTTTGCCTGGGAGTGATCTAAGACCAGTGGTTCTTCTGGCTTGCTCCACAGTATTTTCTCAAGATCTAGCTCATTTGGAGAAGGGTCTTGAATTCCCATTAGCTCCTCTAACAGATCTTGAAGTTCCTGGTCCTGCTCCCCAGCCATCATGCTGTTGGTTTTATTGTAGTAAGGAACAGGAGGCCTTTTGAGTCCCATTTCTGCATTTGGTGGTACCACAAATGGTGAGTCCATTATGCTGCCATTCATGGGATTGTTTTCGAGTAATAATGAATGGCCCACTGTTCCAATAGCTGAAGGGCTAGGGTTCACTGTGATTGGGGGAACCTGCAGCTCTGCACAGGGTGTGCTGGAATGGGCACCTGAGCCCATAGGAAGGGTGACATCTTCAAGGCAGGGTCTCTTGATTTTATTAGGGTAACTCCCATCAGCCATGCCTGGAAGCTGGAAGTTGTCTCCTTCCTGTCTCCTCTTAATGGTTCCCTGGGGCAGAGAGAGGGGAGGGGATTTATAAGGGCTTGGCACAATAAAGCGAATGAACAGCAAACTTTCAAGATAAAACATATCTCAGTTTCAAGATTATAATTGTCAAGACTCTAATACAGCCTATCTGTGGAACAATAATGTTTGTTTCTTTGTTGCCGTGTTTCATTTAAACTGTCTTGATACATTTTAAATAAGCATCATGCTATGTGTAATATTAAATACCACAGAAAGTCACTCAAATGATATTATTTGCCCACTTAGAGGAGAGTTCAGCAAAACCATGACTAAGTCACTAAATGAACTGTGCTGCCAAAGGCAGGCATTTTAGAGCAAGCTAGAAGTAGCTCAGATATTTTCAATTTGCAACCATCTACAGATACCAGGATTTTTAAAAAGGAAAAGCATAACATAGACACTGAGCTTTTAGTTTGCCTCCCTGTCTTGGTTAAATGCGTATTAGGCTGCAGTGAAAAACTGGAATACCATAGAGCCTTTAGAGAAGTGAAGTAACTCTAACTATGTTCTTTAGGGCAGTTATCTAAGATATACTGTTTAGAGGAAAACTCAAGTTGTAGAACAGTCATTGTAGCATGTTTGCATTTATTTTTACACAAACACACACACACACATGCACTCACACACATTGCTATGAGCATACAAAAATAATTTGGGAGAACATATATGCAACTATTTGGAATAGTGACCTCTTGGGGAAGACTGGCAATTCCCTTTCTGTTCTCTACAATTTTGTATTGCTTGTTTGTTTTTAATGAGAATGACTTGTAATGCAAAAAAGTATAAAGCTATCTAAATAAGAAATACCTCTCTGATGCATCCTCAGGTTGGGGAGATATGAAACTACAGGTAAAGTCCCCAATCTGTGATCTGCACCCTGGGGGAGCTGCCTAACATTTATAAAAGCATACCTTTGGTAACAAACCAATTATTAATAAAGTATTTCCCACTCCTTCAAGCTTTATACAGTCATCTGTAGCTGTAATGTTAATGGCTATGACCTGCATGTAAAGGAGAAAGGGAGTGGAGTGACATGGAAGAATGTAAGTGGGTAGAGAGGCTTGGAAATTACCTAAATGCCAACAGTCTCACATATTTCTCTTCAAGCATTTTTTCATGTAAGAACCCCCTTTTAGCTATGGAATTCTTACTGGGATACCCAGTACTGTCCCCTCATGTTTGGCTCACAGGGGGTATCAACAGGTGTGCAGGGGCTACCTGCTAGCACAACAGTGGTCATGACTCCCATGAAAGATTGAATATCAGGAGATCTCCCAGGTCTGCACATCAGAATCACTTAGAAACACCCAGATTCCCAGGCTTTCCCACCACAAATGAATTTCTTCAATCTAATCTGAGGTGAGGCCCAGGCATCTGAACATTTTCAGAGCTCCCTGGAATCATATAGAGTACTCATACAACTCAACAAAAGGAAGACAAAGAACCCAATTAAAAACAGGACATACAAATGGCCAAGAGACATATGAAGTAATGCTCCACATTACTGGAATCCCTGGCAGATTCTATATGCTCCTGGAGCTTTCATTTAATTGTAGGTCTGCCAGTAACCTGTTGGGACTAAGGTGACAAGAGGTGGAGAAAGCAGGGAGTGACCTCTGGATGCTAAAAGTAATATTAGGAGCCACTGTCAAAGGGCAGGGGTCTCCAACTCTCACACAATTTTTCAGGCACTCATCAGTGCTCCCAAGCCAAGGTTCCCCACTCAATTCCAATTTGGGAACCTAACCAGCTCCTCGATGACAAACTAAACCCAGGATGCCCCTGCAGGATGTTAATGGCAGTTCCACTGCTAGTGGATCCAATTGATAGAGCGTGCACCACCCTTGCTATGCCAAGTCTGCAGCTGGACAGTCATTCACATCATTGAATGCTCTTGGAAAAAGCCTAATCAGGGGTAGGCTGGCCTTGATGTCCTTGGGTAAACAGGGTTAATAGTCAGGGCTTCAGTTTCAGCAGAGGGGCAGATGAAAGCCTCTTCTGAACTCTCCTTTTTCACTGTATGTGCTGCTGAAGTGAGCACTAAGCTCTCTTTTTTCAATGGAGTTAAAGGAGACTCGACTTTGTTAGAGGCTGTGCAGCTTTGCACTTAGGATTTATAGTGACGGCTTTCGACAGTTAGCCTGCAGCACCCTGGCTGACTAGCCAGAACCTTAACCAAGCCTAAACAAGGCCTCGGAAAGTGATTGCATTAACATAGAACTACCCAGCCTCACTCTAAATGCATCTGTTTTCACCAGGCATTGGTGAGGTGTGAACATTTTGCCCCTATACATAGATTTCCCTCAGTGCCTCCTCTTGTACAGTCCCCTGATTTGTTACTCATCGCAACTGCCAGAAGTTGGCTGGGCTGTTCCCTATGTTCAGTGCACACTGACACCTTCACCAAGTCACCTGGACTAGTGGGTGCTGGGCTGAGGTCTGCCTTCCTTAGTTGTGTTGATTGACTCCTGTGGCCACCATTTTAGATCAAATGTAGCATATTGCTTGTTACTCCTAAATAGCATCACCTCTCAAGTTTGTGGTGGGGACAGCAGGTCCCCAACCAAGCTTTCAGACCCGTCTAAACAAAAATTCCAGTTTTGTGCATATGCTGTTTCCAGTCTCTGTAGATTCCATGACGGCAAGTTATTGGTCCCTGCTACCAGCTAACCCCTACTTCCTTCAGGCTGTGCATTGCGCATTATCTTGCCCACTCACTGTGAGATTTCTTTTCTATTTTTACAAGAAAAGTAAATCAGTAGACACAAGCAAGACTTCTAGAGAGCACATCTCAGCCTCCTCTCTTTAAACAAGACAGAATAAAATGTGATTTGCTTGTGATCATACAACTAGTTAGGGAATAATGACAACAGTAGACCCCAGGTGTCCCAACTCCCAGCCTGAGACCTCACAGGTCCTTTGTTATATGTGGGGGAGGGCCCCTGGAGGGGAGGGCTGGTGTCCCTGGCACTTTAAAAAAGGAATGACTTTATCTCCACAAATGCCTAAAAACCCCTATTTCATAATCAAGCAGACAAAGCCACCAATGTGATCCCCATGACTTTATAAACACTTATTAAAACACATTTGCAAGCATGTGATGGCTTCCCCAACCCCTAAATAATGAGAAAATGAAGGCAACCCTCTGATAGGGACCAAATTCAGCTCTGAAGTAAATATTACTTCTGTTTCTTTGTTAACAATGACATAAGGCAAGTCTTCCCTTTTCTACACTTCTGGTTCAAATTGGAACAAAGAGCAAATATTTCTTAGAAAAGTTCTAAATTATAAGAGTAAAGTCCAGGCTCATAAAATGGGCATATGGAGATAAAGAATAGATTATATATATAACCTTCCCAAAAAAGTTGGGCAGGTTGTTATAAACACTTAATTTTGGACAGTCTAGCTGAAGGTTTAACATGGGCACTAATGAAAGGACAGCAAAAATATGCACAGGTCCTACTACATAAGAATGTAGGAGACTGAAGGTATCCAGGAAAGATGAGTTCCATGAGTCTCATTTTCCCCTCCAGAGGGCCCTGAGCATGTAGGCCCTAGGCAAAATTGTCAAAAGAGGGGGAAATTGTTTATTGGTCTCAACTTTCTCCCTCACTAGTGCTTCCTCTAGTTCAGCACAAGCCAATCTGCTTGCTGGTTCTTAGCTTCTTCTCACAAGTGCATCCATACTCCATCAACAACTCTCTTCAATACTGGTCCACATTCCCCCTGAGCTTTCTAGAAAATAGTGTTGGCCAACTAGATTGAATTTCAAGCCCTCTGAGACCAAAATGGTCCCCAATAGACTTGCTCAGAAGAAATAAATAAAGATATCATGGGGCATGGTAGAAGTAGCTCCAGAAGAGATAAGACAATGATGCATCAGGAGAGAGAGAGAGAGAGAGAGAGAGAGAGAGAGAGAGAGAGAGAGAGAGAAGAAATAGAGAGAAAGGGAGGGAGACATGGAGGGAGAGAGGGAGAGAAAGAATATGCCTGAATATATACATGGGATCACATTAGTATCCATGTATATAGTATAAATGTCTATACTTGGGCACATGTGTGATTTGCATGTTTGTTTTTCAGAAGAATGTCCCCACAAACTAAAACTGACCTTTCTGTGGAACAAATAGGATCTTCAGCATTTCCAGAATTGCAAGATATGAGGCTCTGGAGAATCCTAGGGTAGCTGCAAATGGCAGGGAACCCTGAATGCTGATTGGCTTCAAGAGGTGCCACTTTGTCTCTGTAATGAACCTTTTCTATCAGATAGTTTGAAGCAAGATTCCTGACCCACAAATAAGGGATTTCTTAGTGCCCCTGGCTTACACAGAGCCCACAGACTGCATGCCAAGCACCTGACGCAGGCAGAGGCCAGACAGAGTGAAGGAAAGAGCCCTGGAGTAGACACCAGAAGCCTTGCGTTTATGTCCTAGCTCTTCCATTTGCTGTGTGACTGTGGGCAAGTCACTCCCAATCTCTGAACCTCAATTTATTCTCCTGTAAAATAGGTATTCGGGCTGCTCTGTGTGCCTCACAGCATTGTTGAGGCATGCACATTGGAAGAAGTAAGTGTTACTGATGTTATTCTCCAGGCTCTGGGTCCCCAAGTTGCCAATATGAGGCCTCGGTTTGTTCTTTGACAAAATAAAGACCCATCCACTAGGACGGGGTATCATGTGGGGGTGGGGGAAGGTGAGTGGCCTAGTATTGACGGCACTGACCAGACAACCAGCAGTGCTGCCTATTAAATTCTACTGCCTAATGCTAGCAACCACCCATACTCTTGGTTCCCCCACACTATATGCAGCACTCACCTCAACCTGAGGACTTGAGACAAGCTTCAAACAGAGCTATATGAGTGGTAGCCACAACAAATGCACAAACAGACTGGCCTGGGTGGGGTATTTTCTAGCACTGTGTTCCCTTTCTATAATTTAAACACACCATTTGGAAGACTTGGCAACTTAAAGAATGGCCCCAAA